TCAGACTACTCGCAAATCTCCCCCCATATACTTTTTTATGAGCTTGCTCAGGTAGGGCTGGATTCTTAGTGCACTCAGTGCCCCAGCAGAGCCTCCAGCAGGTCCCGGCTGTCCCCAGCCTCCCTGCTGCCTTGGTGGCACAGCTCTCCAGCACAGACTCTGTCCTGGCAACCCCCTGGGACGGCTCTGCAAAGCTGTGTCTGGATCCTGGGGTCCCCAGCAGCTGGGGAGCTCGGTGGGCCACATCCAGCCTCGCTGCTCGGCCCTCGGCTCAAGAAAAGCCGTGAAAGGCTCCAAGCAAGTCAAAAATACATCCACAGCAAGGAAACACTGACCTGCCACATGCAAGCTCTCTGCTTCACCCTGAAGAAGCTCGTGGACTCCTGCTCCTAGTTTCCTGCTGCTCCAGCGTGTAATTCCAGCCTTTGCCGAAAGTTTTACACATCTCCCACGTCCGGATGGGGAGCACCCGAGAGGGCTCTGCCGAGGTGCAAGGCACCGAATGAGCAGAGATCTGCACATCAGCATCTTAGTCATGACTTGTGGCAAGAGGAAAGCGGTGACTAAGAGAACAGTGTGACTCATAAGTACCCTTTACAACACCCAACTCGCAAAAGAAAATACACATCTTTGCACGTCAGCGTGTTTCAGAGGCCAGTGTGGTCACCAGAGGGGACCACGCTGCCACCTCATGCTCCGCGCGCTCCCAGAGGATCCCGCGCCAGCCCAGTGCCCTCCTCCTGATGCTTCCCATATCGCAGCAGGGAATGGGCAGGAAGCCTAAGGGCAAAGCATTACAGACTAAATATCATAACTTTCAAACCACAAAACACAGATTCTTCATCTATTATTTTCCTTACATGGATCGCACATAGATCGAAACATTTTCCCCCAAGACAGTGATTGTGGAGGACTCTTTGGTGAGAGGGAACTCAGTTTGCCCACCACAGCCCAGCAGAAACTTTTCAGGTTCACCCACTGGTTTTTCCCCAAAATCTCCCTTCCTTCCCACCCACATGGTGTGAAATAACGAGGCAGGGGACAGTTCAGAAGAACGTAAACAGACTTTCCAAATAGCTCTATTAAATATCTCAGGAACACTAGGGAAGACTTGTAAAGTGTTGCAAAGTAGTGATCCATGAAGATGTTAAAGTGCTGAGTATTTCTGAAAATTAAATAATTAAATAAATGCACTCGTACAAGATATTTGATGCCGGTGACAGGGACCATGCAGACATTGTGCAGTGACCTGCCCACAGTGGCAGTTTCACAACACTACCGGAGCGAACCCCCTCTCGAGATGCCCTCATCACCAAGGTAATGCTTTGCGCATTTCCAAGCAGAACAACATGTTACAAAAGATGAGGGTTTCCCCTGACTGTTCTCTACATGTCAAATATGTTCTTGGGAGCTGGTACAAGAACATCCTGGGGAATAAAGAAGGGTTTGAGGGATGAATTAAGAGAAAAACATAGAGAAAATAAAGAGAAATCAGGTTGTCACAAGTCAGCAGCACTTTGGGTGTGTGCATTGCATGCACACCCATCCATTCAACCCCCATATGAAGCCATTCGAGATATTGCTCCTAGGAGACACAACAGCTTGCAGGAACACAGTCTGTCAAGGACTGAATGCCACCCTTGAACAAGGGCCACACCTGTGAAAGCAGATGGCAAGCTCTCACCTGGAGAGGCTCCCCGCTGCCTTGCACGGTGCAGTTCCATAGAGGCAGGTGGTCACGCAAGACGTTCACCACCACTCGCGGCACTAAACCCTTCCGCTCCGTCTCACGCAGGATGACCACCCACCACCAACACAGCATCTGCGAAACACCCTGGCGGAGGCGGCAAGAGGAACCGTTGGAGACTGAAAGGGGAACCGGGAAGCTGGGAACCACAGCCAAGAGGACGACCTGCTTGTAAACAGCTACAGGATGAGGCATGCAGAAAATGGGCCTTGTTCTGATGAGCATTACACCATGTTGGTACCACCACAGCGCTCTCGGTTCCAGCAGGGACAGCATCAAGCTCCACAGGTTTCTTTGGACCAGGGGATTATTAAAAGCAACTTGCCCCAAGGTTTCCCCCTGTTTAGGCTCAGTTTTGGCACGTGGCTGACACATAACAGTGTCACAGGCACGCAACAGAATTGGAGTTGATCCCCACAAGGCCTGGATGCCCTAAGTGACTTGAGAATTTACTAATAGGAAACGAATTTGATTTGATTATTCAAACTAAGATGAATGAGATATGACATCAAAGGTAGTTTAGGAAGGTTCTTAGACAACTTGAGAAGCTTTCAGGGCACTTTCCATGGATACAAAAATCTTTGGAAGGTTTCCAATTGCAGTCACTTAGTTTGTCTTCAATGCTCTGTGGTCTTTTACTTTTAGGACTTTTCTTCCGCTTGGTGCCAGAGGAAAGGAGATCCTTCTGGTCCTTCATGCCCCCCACGCCCTGGAAGAAGGGACTCACATCGTACACACAGCAGTCAGGTTGGAGAGATAGCTTGGGCAAACAGTGGACACCATGTGTTCAGGCCAGGGCACACCTGCCTACGGGACTACGAATCCATGGTCACACAGAGGCTTTACTGCAAGGAGCATCCTGCTCTGCTCAAATCACCTCCCGCACAAGAGGAAAACCCGGCAGCTGTGTCACCAACTGAGATTTCCCCTTCCACAGGGGTAAATCCCAGCAGCTCCTCAGAGATATTCACAAATAGGAAAGGACCTGGCTGGAAGTTCTCCACCAGCTCAGAGAGGGACCCTGTGGCACAGAGGCATTGCCTCGCTGGGCTGCAGAAAGCCCCTGGATACCTTTGCAGAAGGATAACACCCTTTCCTGCCTCAATTGTTCTTGGGCTGCTGGCTGAGCATCCAAGGCAGGAAGCAGGAGAGGAAAAACAAGCCCCCTAGCCCAGGGGATTGATTCGGAAACATGTTGCTCGGGTTCTCCGGCGAAGGCTGTCGGTGAGATGCCCCCTCACAGGAGGGCAGGAGGATCTGGCTCAGTACACGGATTGCAGCTGTAGTGGAGCCCAGGGCACACAGCTCAGGCAGACAGATGTGACTAAAGAAGAAGGAGCCTGGGTGGTGCTATCGAATGGGAGGAGAACCACTTCATTTGATGTTAAAGCAATCTGCTTCTAGACAGTGGTTTTTTAGTTGGTGGGTTTTTTGGTTTTTTGTTTTTCTCCTGTGGAAGATTTTTATACAAGCACATCAGCAAGGTCATCATCTCTCTCAAGAAGCACCTCAACTTTCTGCATTTTCTCCCAGATGGGGCAGTGGGGAACAGGGCAGCACTGGTGCCCTCACAGATATGTCCCCACACAGCAAGAGAGCTGGGTATGTGATTATGTAGCAGAGCAGAGCACATGCACGATACCTGCTGCTCCAGTGAAAGTATGTGTTATGCCTAGGTGACACAAGAAATCTTGGTTTTAGCTCTCCTTGTCTTGCAAGATTTTACTGCCTCCTCTACACCCTGTATGGGAGCCAAAGATAGAAATTCAGAGCCAAGAGAGGCAACAGCTGAAGGAAGCCTTTGTAGAAATTGGGGGCAGAGACAGAAGGAAACTGCGATTTTTAAGATTCACACTTCATCTACTATCTGTTTACCTCTAAGTAAGTGCAGTACCTCAAAGAACAGTGAGATGAAGGTGATAAGACGTTTCGTTCAAACCACAAAAAGGCATGGTATCAAAAGATCCAGCAGGCAACCGGTTTGACAAACATCCTTTTAGGGTGCTTGCAAAGGAGAGCATATACCATCCAAACACCCCGGCATCGTGTTATTTCCTTATAGGGCCATGGGTTCCTGTCCTGCTGAGCAAGGGCGAAAGCTGCTCCTACCCCGAGCCCTCC